AAGAGTGATGTCTAAGGGCATTTGAGCCTTTCAATCTTTAATTCCTCTAAGCAAGCAGACTTCACAAAGTGATTTTTTGCAAATGTACAAGAATTGTTGGTTCCCTGGGTGCTAGCAATTAGCCATGCAGTGCTTTTGGAAAAAATCTGATCAGGAGCAGTTGTTATCATCTTGTATTTCTATTGAGCTACGCATTACTTTAACACCTCACTCACTTGCTAGTGAGCCTTAATTGTATCTTATCATCTAAGTTTTTAATATTTTCTATTAAAAAAGAAAAAAAAGAAAAGTGAAGAATGGACAAACTGTTTTCAGAAGGTGCTTTTTAAGGTAGATCTTTTTTCTTTCCCTTATATGTCAATAACCTACACTATGCTTTTTCCTCTTGCCCAATATCCATTCACTCATCCCTTTACTTTGATGGCAATTCTGTGAAGCTATGCAATGAGATACACACTCTGACTAGAATGTCCCAGTTAGTTAAATAATATTAGCTTTACTTTTAATCTACTTTTTTTTATGGACTGATTCAAGTAAAACTAAGCTTTTTGATATTTAATTTCATTTGGAAAAAAAACCACAAAAAACTCTGGTCCTCTGGCATTTCCCCAGTTTGGATACATGATTTATTTCTGCCCTGAAACAATTTTTTTAATCCTCTGCTGTTACAGTATGTGTTAGAATAAAGGTTGAAGATGAATTTGTCTCCTCTGAGGCTTCCATTATTGAAATTCGCTCAAGCATGCATTCGTACTTGATGACATTAAAGGAAGTTTGACTTACGTTCTGTTTTCCCACTATGTTATCAAATGGAAGTTCAGGGCTCCAGGATCCTTCGGTAAACGTTGCTCCACTGTTTCTCCTGTCAGAGGAGCTGACAGCCTCTTTCACAATATCTTCAGGCAAAGTCAACAGACTCTCCTCAGGTTGTTTAATTAAATAAGTCTCAATGTTATGTTTCCTCAAGAATTCATTACGCTCTTTGCCATGCCCTTCTTCAACTTTATAATCCCCGTTCAGACAGTCCAGAGTGGCTTTGGAGATGTGAATTCTCCTGCATAAGTGAAATAAGTAGTAGGAAATACTGATTGTGCTCTAGTATACACAGGTAAGAAGGAGTTTATGAACTCTGCATAATTTTTAACATGATGGATAAGTAGAAGATTTTCTATTGTATATGATGATTTCTGTAAAGAAAATGAAATAGTATATTCAACAAATATGAGCTTCATTTGGGGATAAACACTCTCATAGCATGTTCATTCACATCAATGGGATCTCATGAGTGCACAAAGTCCTGTCACAGGAAAAACACTTTGATATTCACACCTGATATTTATGTTCATAGCAATAGTTTAATGGTACACCTTCCTGAGTAAAATACCATCCAGAGTGAATGAAAATTGCCACTTTAGGGAAATATCGTGAGAGAAAAATATATGGTAAGCATTAGAGCAGTTTGTGTGAAAGCTCTTTAATTTAATTCTGTTACCTTATGGAGCTTAGACAGCTGAAATTAGTGATCTGATAGCGTCTGAAGTGAATTAGAAAAAGGGAAACTATATAAAGGCAGGTGAGGTGATTATTTCTTGTAAAATGAAGTTATGAGTTTAAAAAGCTTTTGCAAAAATGAAGTTGAATCTAAGAAATGACATACGAAAACATCAAATTTTGTAAAAACTGATAAGGTTTTGGATGCCTTCCAACTAAACCTGGAGGTGCTTGATATTCGGACTTTCTTGACCGTAATTACAACTGCTTGAGAAGGACAGAAGGAATTTCGATTGAAAAAAAAAAAAAAGATAAAAAGTAAGGGTTTTTTTTTTTCTATTTTTAAGAAATCTGAAACCTTCTGCACATAGGGCAAATTGCAAACACCTCTAAAACACATCCTCATGGTTAGCTGTGCTACATTTTATGATGCGTAATGAATGCAGTAAGAGGTGATGTTCATTAGGCACTTAGCTAACTCAAGCAAATAAATGCGGTGACTTCATAAAGATACTTTAAAATTAGCTCAGTTTTCAAATTTGCATGCATGGTACTTTTTGAAAGTCATGCTTGCAGACAGATTCCTAAAATTCAGTCAGCTAAAATTCTCAATCATTACTTAATGACACGTGCTGAGTCATTTTTCTCAGGCATCATTAATTGGTTTGTTTTCACTGAAGGAAATGGTCCTAGCATGTCTTTCGGAAACTTTCTTCTGGAACTTAAAGGATCCCACTAGAGTTAAATTGCATAAAATACTGCTGAAGTAGAATGGCTATAAGCACATGTTATGATCTGCATGTATAGCCAGAAAATAAAGTGCTGGTTGTATTGAAGTATCCTGAAATACACTGGAGTACCAGAATTTGGCACAAACTGGGTCTATGTAGAGTATTAAATATCAGTATATAATTAAAAGGTCAAAAATTTGTATCATGTCAGCCATTTTTTAACCTGTCTCAGTGCCCCTCTGAGGTCAATACAGGTTTTGTACAACTTTCACTGCCTGAAGTCGTGTTGTTATTATGTCCATAGAGATTAGTACTCTTTTGTTGTCAAATGTCAGTAAAATTGACAAAAAACAGCAAAAATATGTCTCAAATATAAGCAACTTTTGGCCTGGACGTTAAAATCAGGTCATACAATGTCTCAGAAAAACAATGCATTTCCTAGCTCTTAGAAATCTGAACAGACTAAATTGATTTAAAAGGGTTAGTTATTTAAAAAAAAAAAAAAAAGAAAAAAAGAAAAAAAAGAAAAAAAAGAAAAAAAGAAAAAAGAAGAAAGAAAAAGAAAATCATACATTAGTTGCCAGGGTGACTATCTTCGTGCTGAGTTTCAACTAATATAATTTGGGAAGATTGCATTATAAAGGCTTGAAATATGGATTTTATAATGGAAATGATAACAGCTTTAACTAGAGCGTGGAGCTGGCTATTGATGTAATATGCTTAAATGGAGCAAATATTAATAAATATTTGGTAGATTAAAAATATTTTCTGGTTTCACCTTTTGTACAGATTACTTAAAAACTTAAAATATATAGTGGAGAGATGTCTTTCTAATTTTATGCAAATGCAGTTAATCAGGAACCTGAGCACTGAAGTTAAAAGATATAGTCTGTTTTACTGTTGAAAATATATCAGGTCCAAAGCTTTGGATGATACCTGTCATTCATACATCCTGGAAAATTAATTATTAGCTAGATTTTATGCCAATTCAATACCATAGATTAATACCTAGACACATCAGGTGAAGACCATTAGAAGATGGGGTCCTGGCGGAAGAGTGTCTCTGAAATAACACTGTGGGAACTTACACGGTTTCCTTCTTAGGTGTTCCGGACACATTTTTTTTCCTCTCAGAAATGCATAATTAATTGCTTTTTCTCAGTGTTTCTGAGTGCCTCCTACCATGACTGTTAGGCTGCCTGCTTCTGCTCATTCGCTTGGGAGCGATCTGTCCCTGCATCTCCCTCGCTCAGGTGCTTAGGAGGTCTCAGGGTGATACACAACCAGTGAGGGGAAGAGCTGAGCCTCTTCTCACCTGCCCCTAGACTGGGTGGAGACATCCTCCCCATCCTTTTGCTCTCAGGAACGCGCTGTGCTTCATCTTTGCTTTTGTTTCACACTATGGGAGCAGAACCATTCGTAACGCCAGGGCAGTTTTTCTCATGAAACATGAGGAAAGCCGTGCAGATCTGGGAATGGGAACGATCTCAGTATTGTGGCAAGCAGGGGGATTTAAATGTGGTGGCAAGGAGAAGTAAAGAGAGACTAGAGTGAATTTAACCACTCTATTAAATCTGCTTGATGCACTAGGAAAGTCTGACATAAATCACTGTTTTGAGGGACTTAGTGAATTGCTGCCACGTACAGGCTTTGTTCCGTGAGCAAATGGCATGCAGGAGTGGGAATCACTCTGCTCCAACAGACTGCAACCTAGCCAGGCATTTTATCGACAACTGCAAGGTGGTGCCTGCTCTGAGTTATTCACTAATATCTGTACTACTTGCACGCATTAACAGCAATAAACGAGACTTTTTGCAGGTGCGGATGATGGAAGTTAGATGATTAATTTGCTCATGTTAACAAAGAAGCATGTGACCTTTCTTAGTCATCTGGGATAAGCAGCAGGGAAAGTAAATTTTTTTCTGCAATATTATAGGCAGTGACGTACACAGAGTACAGAAGCTGCTTTCAGAACATTCAATGTTTCATTTTCTGCTGATTCTAAGAATATATATTAGTATAAAGATCTACTATGGGAAATGGTGCAAGAGGCTCACATTTGCAAATATAATTTAAAGCAAATATCCTTCTAACTTCCTGGTAAGGTGAAAGATTGACAGATCCTGACGTGTGTGTAGAGACTACAGCACATGACTCAGATCTGATGACTTAAAACCTCTCTCACTCAAGATGACAGCATCACTTAGACTTTTTCTGCATAAAGAAGTCCATTGCTATTTCTTCTATGTTCCATGGCCAGAAAGGATTGTTGCAGAGGATCTTTTGCTACATCTTTCATCAATGGAAGATGGAACCAAAAGTGAATAAAGGATTCCTGCAACCACTACTGTTGCTTCAAATTTAGGATTTTCAACTTCTAAACTGCTGTGAGATATAGGCCATGTCAGGTAGAAATCATATGTTATCTTCCAGGTGAATCAGACATATCAGACAAAGAAAAACTAGGCAACTCAATGGAAAATCATATATTTTCATATATAGAAAGGCTGAGGTAAATGTCTTAAAACATCTACTAAAGCATTAAATCATTTAAAAGACCTTCTAGAGAGTCTGTTGTCCATATGCTTTGTTATCAGTGTAAAGACCTATGAACACATAGTTCTTCCCACACTTTGTGCATTATGAAATAGAATAAATGACATGCTTCTGACTCACAGGAAACTTTGAATGCAAAGGATCAGAGAACGAAGCCTGGAGAAACTCAGAAATGGTCAATATCTAACTGGGAAATTTGAGCTATCTCTGAGTATTATATGGGCTGAACAAAAACCCTGACCATTTTCAGGAAATCATAGCTGGCAAAGAAAAAGAAATGTTTTTGTCTTTTCTGACACCTCTGCAAGCTGACCACTTCTACCTTTTTTACTATAGCCTCACAAATTCTTGCCAACCACAAAATAGAAAGAAAAAATAACGAGCCATTGCTGATGCAACAATAAAAGACAGTTAATCTGTTGGCAAGATTAAAAACGTACTGTGTTGGCAATGTTTTCTGACTGTGAGAAATGTATGTTGGCTTACCCAGGAATTCCACCGGACTCGAGTTTGTTTGCAATATCCACGTCCCATGACCAGACATCAAACTGCCACTTTCGCAGGCCCAGCACTCCACACAGAACTGATCCTGAATGTATCCCTATTCTCATGTCAATGTCATGCTTCGTTCTTGACCTAACGTATCTGTTAAACAAAAGAAAGAAAAGATCAGACTCATGAATGTATATGCCACATTTTTTTGTACCTTTTAGAAAAGGTTACAACATAAAACACAATGTGAATTTATTATAAAGAAAAACTTAGTCTGTAAAATGAAGAGATAACTTTCTAGGCAACAAAGTACAGGTAGTGATAAAATGACTCTAAAAGCCAGATTAGCATTAAGAGCTTAATTGTAGGCATGGTTCAGTGGCAAATGTATTATTCCTATCAGACAGAAAGAGAAAGATAGGGAGCGAAAAATATGTCTGAGTGAAAGGATTTTGTTGCATTCATTGAGTTTCTTTACTTGGAATTATAAAAGAACATTCGGCAACATTATGAAAAATATCATCATCAAACCTACATATTCTTTTCTATTCTATCATACTTTCCTGAATAATTTTCAATATTTCAAAAATGTTACTTTATTGACTGAAATTTTCCAGAGTTACTCTTTGTCCAAAGGCAAATTATTTCTGGTAGATTTGGCCAGAACATCATTTGCTCTGTTATGATAATGGCATGATTCTAAAATCAGTTTCTTCCGTTCTGTGTGATGGCAGATCATTTCACTTCTTCAAAAGTAAACACATGCAGACATATTCGTTAACAGTCTGAAAAAGGGACTTTGTCTCAGCACTGTTTTCAGTTAATATGTCTATCGGTTATAAAGAGAATTTCACTGTGTTAAAATAGTATCTTCCTCTTCTGTTACAAGACAACCTATATCATTCACAGCCACAGGCACCTTAGTAGTGTCTTAGACCTGCCTCTTCCAAATCTGCACTGAGACACTCCAGTACATCACTGTGGGAAGCTCACAACTAAAATAATTGAGCTGTATCTGTTGGGATGACAAAGAGACCACTTTTCCAGTTCTGCCTGTGTGACAACAATTACTTGCACCAGAAATACTGTTAGAGCTAGTGTTCATTAATATTTGAATAGCATGGTCAGGACAGGAACAGCACGTTGCAGCTGTTGGTCTACAAACAAGACTGCTTTTTCTCTGTAAAAAGTCCCGGTTCTATGGTCACTGAAGTCAATAGCAGCACAGCAAGATCACACAACAGAGCAGGCAAAGAATAAACAGCTCTATTTCACAACTCTGAAGCTAACTACTGCTGCCTCACATGCCTCAGTCATGACCTTGATAGACGCTCTCTGGAGGAGAAGAGGGTAAATTGCTCACTGCATTCAATACTTGGCCTCTGATTGTTGCAACGGCGCATCAATTCAGATTGTGGGGTAAAAAAAAAAAAAGAAGAGTTTCAATATGGAGAGAAACTAGTTGTATAAAAATGTGAGAAATTGAAAATAAGCAATTCATCTTTATTTCCATTTCCTGCATATTCCAAAACCTTGGAGAAAAGCATGCATATGATATATCCCAGTGCAGTTGTTTGACTGCTAGAGAAGATCTGCTGATCATATCAAGCAGCTAACATATTTCAGATATCTAAAAGAAAGAGATTTAAAGAAAGTTAATCATAAAATAATAAAAAAGAAGCTGTGGGAATGGATTTATCTGTGTTCTGATACTCTGAGTTTATAGTTTTAATCTACAAATTATTTATTGGTTTGCAAGCAAGAGAGCTCAAAATATCAAAATTAAGCAAACACACACACCTGTCTCTGGAAGATGGGACATGGAAACAACTCCTACACACTGAACTAGTGTCTTAAATGTTATGAGAACAGCTAAGAGAAGTGAGAGTACTGTAATTTGTAATGTATTTTGAAGAATTTTTATAGATAAGCTACAAAAATATCTAAACTAACACTCCTAACTGTCACAGGAATTACCATGCAACTCCCCACACGATCATTTCCGCAGTCTGCCTTTTTCTTTTGTTCAAACTAAGATAATTATTTCTCACTTTATGCCTGATTTCCTAATCTTGAAATAAAAAGCTAATTGGATCCAGAGGAATAATTGAGCAAAAAGCTTTTCATTGAAAAATGCACACAATAAGAGAACTTCAAGTTTAATAAAATGGTCTAATAATATGTATTTATATAATCTCTCTCTCTCCATATGTATACACACACACTATTAGTCCAATTCGGATTTTAAGTACTATAGTATTTAATTGCTAATAAATACTAGTATTTAACATTGGACAAATACTAGAACTGGGCAATCAAGTGCAAATGCTGGATCTGCACCTTAGATGGAATAATGCCAGGCACAAGTTTAGACTGGTAGAGGAGTGGCTGGGGAGCAGCTCTGCAGAAAGGGATCTGGGGGTGTTGGTCTGCAGCAGGATCAACATGGGTCAGCAGTGTGCCCTGGCAGCCAAAGGGGAAAATCCCATCCTGGGGTGCATCAAACACAGCATGATTCTTCAAAAGAGGTGATTATACCACTGTATTCAGCATTGGTGTGGCCACTTTGAGTACTGTGTGCATTTCTGGGATGTGAAGGTCCTTAAATGCATCTAGAGGAGGGCAACAAAGATGGTGAAAAGTCTGGAAGGAATGCACTATGAGAGCAGCTAAGGACTTTGGGCTTGTCCATTTTGGAGAAAAGGAAGGTGAGGGGTGACTTGATTGCTCTCTACAGCTTCCTGGGGAGGGGAAGAAGAGAGAGAGGTGCTGATCTCTTCTCCCAGGTATCCGGTTACAGGATGCATGGGACAGAGCTGCATCAGAGGAGGTTCAGACTTGACATTAGGAAGGGTGGTCAAACACAGGAACAGGCTTCCTAGAGAGGTGATCCATACCCCAAGCATGTCAGTGTTTAAGAGGCATTTAGACAATGCCCTTAATGATATGCTTTAACTTTTGATCAGCCTTGAAGTGGTCAGGCAATTAGACTAGATGATGGTTGTGGGTCCCTTCCAGCTGAAATTATTCTATTCCATTCCATTCCATTCCATTCCATTCCATTCATAGAATCATAGAATCATAGAATGGTTAGGGTTGGAAGGGACCTCAAAGATCATCTAGTTCCAACCCCCCTGCCATGGGCAGGGAAAGCCTCCACTGCACCAGCTTGCCCAAAGCCTCATCCAACCTGGCCTTGAACACTTCCATTCCATTCCATTCCATTCCATTCCATTCATTTTAAATATTGTAAATTATAGTCTTGTATTTGGATCCTATATGGGAACTAACACACACAGATCTCATTGGAGAGACCAGGTACAAATGATGGTACAACTGAGCAATGTATCCCTCTGTTTTCAGAGTGTTCACTAAGGATCACTAGTTTTTAACATTTCCTTTCTCATGTGATGATGGCCTGAAAAGGCTTCAGTATCCTCAATCAGTCACACAGGACTTCTAGATTTGTTCAAAATAAATGAACAAATTTGCCCCCATCTTCACATCCTCCTCCTACTTGCCCTTCACAGCAATGTGCTCTTATGTTGGTAGGCAGGAAACTAATTGCATGAGGGAATTTGATTGAATCGAGCCACAGGCAGTCTGAGATACATTTAAACAGATCCTGTCCAGAACATGAATCAAAGCACAGCAGTGATCTGGTTCTGCTCTCATTGCTTTATTATTTGCAACACAAGACTGAGAGCAGAGCTGTTGAGAACCTGCTTGTGGAGACATTAGTTTTCACCAAACTTTTGTTGTAATGCTTTAAATTGAATAAAGAAGAGGTGGTTGTAGATGGAAAGTGAGGTGATTGGTTAGTATGTAAAAAAGCCACAGAATTATTATTTTTCTTTAAAATTCAGAATGATGTGGGGTGAAATAGATTTCAGAATTATATAGAGTAGGGGGCTTCACTATGGTCAAATCCATCCTTCTAATAGCCAGAGTACCATATATTTTAAGAGTTCTTCTTTATATTCTGCTATGGAAAAAAAGCCACTAAAAACTTTGAAACCCTGGCTCATCAATAGGGTTAGATCTCATTTATTCAGAAAAACACTTCTTGTAAATAGTAGCATGTACTAGATATAGAAAAAATGAAGAGTGTGCATTTTGCATAAGCTCAGGTGTTCCACATTTTTTAGTTCTTCTGCCTCTTAAATTTATTCAACTATCAATGAAGCTTTTAATTAAAAAAGAGTATTTGCTTCAACTCTTTCACAGCCTCCCTGCAAATACTTTGACAAAGCACATGCATGAAGCTGCATTATCGATAATTTATAAAGCAGCTCTCTTTACCTCACAAGCTGTCTGATATTTTATCCAGGATGAGGCAACCGTGCCTGATGCTATTCATGCCATATCCCATTTCAGTCAAGTCAGTGACAAAAATTTCATTGATTTTGATTAGATCTTGACGTTTCCTTCTGGCCAGCATTCTTTGATGGGCATTTGATTTTTTTATGCTGCTAATCAGAGGCTTTCCTATTTGCACGTAGAAGGTGAGCCAAAAGTCAGAAACCTGCTTTTCAGACTTTTCTGTAGCTGCCAAAAATCTGAATTCCCTGGAATTCACGCCTTGCAGGTTCAGACAGTGAGACACTGACTACATTTGTGCTAACCAGTTTAACTCTGCAAGGCTCTGGCTATGCTTTGATATACTTAAACCAGCCCCAGATTGTTTTATGGTTTTGTTTGTTGTTGTTTTTTTTTTTGTTTTTCCTGGCCAACTAGTTCTCTCACAACCTGTTCCCAGGTTCAGGAGTTCAAATGTCTCAAAGACCATTTCAATAGGCAGTTTGGTTGCAACTGCCCAGTTTTGGAGGCAAAAGAAGTAGAGAAGAATAGAGTTGGCCAGTCTGTGCCACTTTTTCTTGGTGACAGCTGACATTCTCAGGTGTCGTTTCATTTACCCATCAAGACATAGCCACTATTATCCTCATGCAGATGTAACAGGAAAGTCTGTGTGTTTGATTATGGTCCCCACCATAAGAGAGACATAGATCTGTTGCAGCATGTTCAGAGGAGGGCCACAAAGGTGATCCAGGGGCTGAAGCACCTCTGCTACGAGGACAGGTTGCAGGAGCTGGGATTGTTCAGCCTTGAAAAGAGAAGACTTTGGGGGGACCTAATAGCTGCCTTCCAATACC